CTTTAGGTAGCTTTTCAAATAAGCTAGTTGAATTTTTTTATTTTAGCTAGCTTATCAGCTAATTTACCAAACACCTTTTATCATATAAGCTAGCTTTTCAGATATAAGTCATAAGCTATAAGCTATAAGCTCAAAAATTACATATACGCTATAAGCTACCTTATCAGCTATCAGCTAGCTTATCAGCTAATTTTACCAAACATAGCCTTAATGCTCCAACAAGCAAATTAAAAACCCAATTGAGACTCCAAAAAGAGCAGATGTACAGTGCTGGCTGCTTCCAAATGAGTATAAAAATGCAAACATTTTGCAGTAATATGTAGATGACAGTCAGTATTCACAGCTCAAACCATTCTTGCTTAATCCGAGTTTCAAAACACATGTCTGTATGCTTCAATTTCCTCAAGAACCAACCTAAAGTTTCCTCAACAGAAAATTTCTGTAAGTGACCCTTTTCTCTAAGTAAGTAATCAAAATCTCTATTCAAAACAGGTGAGGGGGAGAAAACAAAAACATCAGTTCAGAAACTGTCACAAGTATACATACATACATACATACATACATACAACAAATAGTGATTAATCTACAAAACGGGCATCGAAATCATTACCACAGACGACGAATACCTTTCCTCCGACTCCCCACCATACCCCGCCGCACCCAACCAAATTCTATCCCCCCACTTCTCGAAAACCTTCGTCAGCGTGGCCGCTTTCCTCCTCGCCCTTTTTGTCCCCGTCACCATCAAGCTCTGCAATAATCCCACCATTTCCGGTACCCGGCCCACCCTCTCCACCACCTCCGGCCGCCAGTCTCCTCCTCCTCCTCCTCCCCTACAAATCTCGAGCAAAGCCGTCACCGCATTTTCCTTCCCTTTCGGAGTCCCCCACTTCATCATCTCCACCAACCTCTCCACCGTCTCCTCCTCCTCCTCCACTGCCACCGCCGCCTCCGGCAGCCGCCGCCGCACGATCAGCGCCAGTGCCCCCGCCGCCGCCTCTGCCGCCTCCTCCACCGCCAGCCCCCGAACAAGCTCCCGAACTGCCCCAAACCCGACTAACAACCCGCAGCTTTCACCATCTGTCGACAGGTTGAAAATCGCCGTCGCCGCATCTCTCCTCCCGCGCGGCGTACCGGCCACAAGCATCCTCGCCAAGGCCCGTACAGCCTCCTCCCGACGAGCGATAACCTTCTTGAACTCGTGAACCGACGAGAGACTAAAAAGAACCGCAGCCGCGTTCTCACGGGCCTCGACCGTGAGCCCGTTTATCAACACACTGATAATCGAGCACAAGCACCCGTCTGAGCCCATTATAACCGATTTATTTGTGTCGAGTATCGACAAGTTTAGTATTGCAGTGATCGAATTCTCCTGTGTGGACGGGTCGTTTGACGAGAGGAGCGTTTCGAGGAGAGGAATCGCGCCGGCCTCGGCAATGCAGGCTCGGTTTTGCTTCCCGGTTTTCGCGAGGAACCGGATTTCCATGGCGGCTAGTGATTGGGCCCGTGGGAGCCCGTTTGCCAGCTGTTCGACGAGTAGACTGGCTGTGGCTTTAGTGGCTTCAACTTGGGCCTTTGTCGGTAGGCCCGCCGAGTAGTTGTTATTTTCCGGGAAGTAATCCGAGTTTTCCGGGGGTTCGTATGGGATTCTGTTGGCTGCACACCAATGCGCGATCAAATTCCTCAAGGCACGATTCGGGATAATCTTCGTGTGGAGGAGGATTTGCCCGGTTTTCGGACAAGTGCAGTGCCTTTCTTGCATCCATCTCGAAATCGACGAGCGTTCGTACGTGTGGCCCGTCGAGATTAAAACCGGGTCACGCATCAGATCCCACGACACGGGGCAAACAAAATCGTTCGGGATAGTGAGAAATATGTCGGCGAGTTCTTCTTGTGTGAGCATTCCTTTCTGGAACTTCTTGTGGGAATATCTTTCCAAATCGAGCTCATCCTCGAATCGGAACAGCAAGAACCTGCAATAACGGATCAATGCCACAAAACCATTGAGAATCGAGGTCGTGGGCTCGATATCCCCATCGTGATTCGCAATCTGTTCTTCCAAAAACTCAATCTCGAATAGGCAACTTTCAACGTTGCGAATGCTTAGCTTCTCTACGAAAAAATCGCGCAATGCGCTCTTCTCGGGGATCTCCCCATTTTCTAATTCAGATAAGAAGTGATACAGTTTGAACCTCAACAGTTCGTCATGACTATCGACGAACAATTTCGAGTTCCTAGATTGTTTGCCTAGCAACTCAACTTGCTCCTTAACCTCTTCTGGTAGATTAAGTTCACCCAACGGGAAAACATCCAAAAGGGTAGAAATTTCCTGGTTCAGATCATGGAAATGACCGGAGATCGAGTGGTTCTGGAGCAATAGCCACAGTTTGCTCGAACCCTTCACAAAGTCAATCAGAATTTTACACCTGTAAAGATGGAGGTACAACTCCTTGAAGCACAGGAACACAGCCGGTGCTGGAGCTGGAGCTGGAGCTTTTTCCGACAAGCCCAGATCAAGAGAAGCATCCAAGAGGATGGATATAACCTGGATTTTCCTAATCAGAGATCTCGAGTTCTTTACCTGAAAAAACGGCGTCGTTTTACTGTCTCCGGAAAAAGACGACACCAGCTCCGCAGCGACAGCTCTCAAAGCCTCCAGAATCTCCGAGTCGGAGACGTTCACCGGCGCCAGAAACGCCTCGAGCGTCGGCGAACTCCGCCGCCTCATC